TTTAGAATTCTCACAAAACTCCTCATGAAAATTCACTTTTACTTATATAATATATATCTAGATAGATAGATGTGTCTGGCATACACACAGTTTCCACTAGCATATATACAATATTGGTTTTGCTTATATAATTATACGGAAATTGTATGTATGCCCGTAATGTCCTAGTGTATTACGGGCATAAATACATTTTATAAAAATATGTGTAAAATATATTGAACAAAAAGGAAAAAATAAAAAAAAATAAACAAATAGAAAGAAAAATAAAAATGAGAGAAAAAAAAAAAGAAAAAAAAAAGGAGGAAGATTGGATCATGGGATCATAGAAGGACGGGTAAGAAAAAGAAAAAGTAAGAGCGAGAAGCGGGAAAATAGAAATGTACATGTAGGATATTTTTTGAAAAATATATCTCAATCATTGTTTGTTTTATAATTTAAACAGATCTAAACCGTCCAAATGTCCTAGAAGGACAAATGCGTGTAGAATAAATTCAAAAATCATCCTACTTTATTATATAGATTTTGAAAAGTTAAAATTTTAATTAAAAGATTAAAAAGTTACCGTCAATTTATTCTCTTTATTTTTTACAAATTTTTTTTCAAAAATTAAAAAATTATTTTAAAAGTAATCAATAGAGAGTGGGGCATTTAAGTCTTTATATTTATAATAATTACTCTCTTACCCATTAACAAAAACAGTTGAAAAGAAATAAATTTCATTTACTTGAGGCTTTTAGCCTACCATTGCAATTTGTCCCACCCTCTCGGGGTCCCACATTCTCATCTCCTGCTCTCTTTTGCATAATTTTTTTTCCTATCCTAATAAGAAATTTGAAACTGCAGAGACAATTGAAAAAAAAAAGCGGATCTGGAATTTGAATTTGTCTTGAATGGCTTGAATTTTATTTTGTTGGTTGTTCGGTAAAAAAGCTGACAGTTATGATCGACAAGGTAACAACCGCGGTAGACATGTGTTTCACCCGATCGTCCAGTTCATCGACCGGTGAACACAAATCGGAACCATTCGAGATAGTTCAATTTCAGACACTAAGAATTTTTGTAAAAAAAATTCACAAAATTTTGTCATGAAGCCATGCCTCAGTCGACTGACTATCAACACGACTTAGGATCAATTTTTGTTCGTATTTTATTCAATTTTCCTTCACTTTTGTTATTTCTCCACAAATTACTTTTCAAGATCTAAATAAAATTTAAATGAACTTACATTTCTTATGATGACTCACCCAAAACTCCTCTTAAAGTCGAGAAATTGGGAGCTCTGTAAAACACTTTGAGAGTGCAAAATAGCTTTTACCAACAAAACAATCAAAAGATCTAGCAATTATTTAGTATTATTGATGACATATGTAATAATGTCAGAAAGATATCTTGATTTTAATTTTTTATGAAACCCACATGAATCTCATAAAAATTAAAGGTAAAAAATGTATTTATAACATTACCGTAAAATACACTGAATAATTTACATAAGACCTGGCAATATATGTGTTTGCAAAGCAATGAGAAGTTGTTGCTTTGCTTTTTTTAACTTTTGTTTTGGGTGGTCAAAAAGTTATTGTGGGCTACCATACATACCATCATTGGGATCTCAACTGTTTCCATCCATCAACTGTGACACCTAAAGTCCATTTCTTTCTTCTTTTTTTTCCCTCATACTCTCATGGGAACCAAATTATGTCCATCTTTCAATCATAGTTTAGGATATTTATTAGGGACCCATGCAGCACCAAGAGCTCCCAAATTGGAGCCAAGGTTCTCTCCTTGCAGTCTGGTACTTGCGCCTGTCCTTGCAGGCCTTCGGGTCTATTTTTAGGCCCAATTTTAATAATCCGAACCGTTCATATTTTATGATTTATTCAGTATATCATACCTGTAAAAAATCAAGTTGATCGGATATCAGAAAGTATGTGTTTGGAAAACTGTTTATTAAATTATTTAAAAAATAGTTTTTAGTTCAATTTTTCGAACACATACTTTCTGATATCCGATCAACTTGATTTTTTACAGGTATGATATACTGAATAAATCATAAAATATGAACGGTTCGGATTATCAAAATTGGGTCTAAAAGTAGACCCGAAGGCCTGCAAGGACGGACGCAAGGATGGAGGCTGCAAGGAGTGGATCCTGATTCCCCAAATTGTCCTTCCAACTTATGAAATTCATATTCTTGTCAAATAAAAAAAAAAAACATAAAATTCATGTCAACTAGCTTTAATTTTTCATACTCTCAAGAGCATCTTCAAATCATTGATATTATAAAAATAATATCAAATTCAAATTTTGTTAGGTTAGAGCAACTCCAATACAGAATGTTATTTTAACTGTCCAAAAGTCAAATATTAACAAGTCATCGTGTACAAAATATTATATTTTGGCATTTAAACTCCAACGTTACAATTGTCAAAATTTGATCCAATCATCATATTAGCTCTGTGAGAAGAAACCATCAACTCCTTGTTACGATTGAGATAATCCAAATGTTTAACTACCCAAAAGTCAAATATTAACAAGTCATCGTGTCCAAAATATCATATTTTGGCATTTAAATTTCAACGTTACAATTGTCAAAATTTGACCCAATCATCATATGTGCTTTGCTGGAAGAAACCCATCAATTCCTTGTCGCGATTGAGATGCACCAGTGCATTTATGTTGGGGTTGAAATTGGTTTATGACGCAGATGTGGCAAGTATGATAGCAGCCAAACCTAGTGCTAAATTCCGCACAAGATTTGGCATTGTCAAATTTTGATAACTTGTTTGGCAGGACATTGGAGATCACAAAATAAGAAGTGTGCTATATTTTTGAGTTTAGGAGCTTCTTTGACAATGCATTGGAGATGCTCTTATAGTGTTTGGCAGTGCATTGGAGAGCCACAAAATAAGAATTGTGCTATATTTTGAGTTTAGCAGCTTCTTTGACAATGCATGGGAGATGCTCTTATAGTGTTTGGCAGTGCATTGGAGAGCCACAAAATAAGAATTGTGCTATATTTTGAGTTTAGCAGCTTCTTTGACAATGCATTAATTGGAGATGTTTTACTGTCAAAATATTACAATTCGGCAATCTAGCAATAATGGTGCAAAATGTTATTTTTCTATTTTTCTTCACTAAAATTCAAATGAAAATATTGTGGATCTCATCATGAGAGATGTAAAGAGAAATAAGTTTTGCCAAATTTTAGCGAGTGTCAAACTTTGTGCCAAATTTGATGCAAGTTTTGACAATGCTAAAATTTAACCATAGTTTTAACTTATGGTTAGGAATGAATTTTTTTGAGTTCTTGCCAAATTTAATTTTGACAAGACTTACAGCAGATTGCTAGAGACTTACTGTATTTTTTTTAAAATTTAATTTACCCAAAAAGAAAATGTCCAAAAGCTACATCACAGCACAACCTACTGTGTAACGTCTATTTAAAATGCTTTAGGGAGCTTCTATTTCACATACCAAAAATTTTTAGCGCACATTCTCTTACTATACAGACAAAGGATTTTAAAATTTTATAACCCACCATCTCAAAAATACTTTCACCTTCTTCAAATCCTAACCCTAGCTAGCCACTACATGCAAACTCTAATCCTAAACACGCCTAGCCACCACCTATCACCATTACAACCTACCTCCTCTCCCCATCACTCTACCATCCACAACTCTTTCCTTTCCTCCCGCACCCTTCCCTTGAAGGCCCCCATCCTCTACTGTGATCTCCCTACTGCACCCCAAACTCTAAATTTAACACCACAAGTTGCACCCGACAAAACCCAAGTCGCCTACCCTCTTTGAGGTCAAAAATTAAACTACTTCACTTCAACAGTCAATAATTGAACAAACTCCAACTATTCGATTGTTGAAAACCGAACTAAATCCACAGGTTCAACCATAGTTTTCCTAGTGGCAACTAGAGATGGTGGGGTCACAAGTTTGGGGTAATGGTGTGTGTGATCTATTGGATTGTTGTGATGGCAGTGTTATTAAAGGTGATAGGCGCACCAAGGCGCCAAGGTCTCCTGGAGCCTAGGCTCAATGCGCAAGACGAGGCGCGAGCTTCACCGAAATGAGATGCATCTTGTACAGAAAAAAACATATAATTTAATATAAGTAAATAATTTAGAATTCAACAGAAACAAAATGAAATGTAGTGTTTTTTGGAGATTACGAATTAGGGCTAATTTTTCTTTTATCATTGATCTGGGTTGAATGCCCAATGTATTGTCATCTTTGATAAGAATAAAAATCTTTTGTAGCTGCACCATATTAAATCAATGGTTAGATTTTAATCAAAACCAATTAAAACAACAATAAAAAAACTCCTCAAGATGCAAGTCTTGGGCTAATCAGACACCTTATCACAGCTGTTTGGCCTAGAACACTACAAGGCACAAACCTTGGGACTGGATGGGACTTAGACCTAAGCGCGCCTTATCGAAGTCGCCTGGCCTAGAGGACTATCTTGGGCCTAGATGGGACTTGGGCCTAGGCGCACGCCTAGGCACGCCTTTAATAACACTGGGTGAGGGAGGGTTGGTACTGTTGGGGGAAGGTTGGTGGGGTGGCTGACAACTAAGTGTGTCTAGGGTGGTGGCAGGCAGGCAGCTGTGGTGGTTTGTGGACTAAGGTTTGGGATGGAAAAGATAAAGAGTATTTTAAGATAAAATTGTAATTAAAGAATGAGCATAAGATCAGCAAACCACAGGAGGGAGAAAGATGGAATCAACCCCCAATGTTTGAAATTCTAGTATAAGTACAAATACTTTGCCACACCATTTCAGCAATAGTGGGTTAGAAATTACCCACCAACAAAAGCACCAGATAATTTTTAATAAGATTCCGACAATGATATGCTAGCTCCAAACTTCGGTCCAAAGATTATTAACTGCCAAAATATCACTCAAATTTTGATTCAACAGATTAGGCTAATACTGTCCCTGAAATGAAAACAAAAACAAAAACAAAAACAAAAGCAAAAACGCATATCAATTTTATGGCATTTTCATTCTTCTCTTCCACTGATTGTCCACCTAAACTCAACCCAATTCAACATCATATTCTTCTATAATCTATGTACTTAAACACAATATATTTTCCTTTTCAACTTCATGTATCAGCTTTCCCTCAAAAAGGACTGAGATCTAAACACAAAGAATATTTAGTTTCCACAACAATTATTATTACTGGAACAGCAGGTCACAGTTCTTATATTTCTATATATATGAAGCTGCGTACAGATAATCATACAAGAATTAAATATTTCCCTTTTTCCATGATTATTGGTCCAATTGATATATAAGAGTATATAAGTGCAATTTTTATATCTTAGAGGCATCAGTTGTTGAAACTCGGCTCAAGGCAATGGCAGTCTTGGAACCTGATGGGCGGCCCAGATACTTGCTAATGAACTCCCCAGCCTGTAAGAGCTTCCATATATCAACATTGGTTTTCACACCAAGCCCATGAAGCATGTACACAACATCCTCTGTTGCAACATTCCCTGAAGCTCCCTTGGCATATGGACACCCTCCTAGGCCCGCAATAGAGGAGTCGACTGTGCTAATCCCCATCTGTTTACAAAAATCACAAAGGCAATTTAGTTCAATGTGTGTGTTTGCGCGGGCGTGCATAGCTTATGTGTGCACGCTTGTATTTCATGGAGAAGGTAGCTCACTTGGAGGGACACTAAAATATTGGGAAGGGACTGGCCATAAGTATCATGGAAGTGGACTGCAAGCTTCTCAACAGGAACGACAGCCATTACAGCTTCGAGCAATGGAAGAACATTACCTGCACCAAAGAAAAATCAAAACAAGGTAAGGACATAAATAAGCATAACAAATTTGATATTCTAAGATATACACCAACTAGAATGGAAAAAATTGTTCAATGCATAAAGTGACTCTCTTACTGATTTTCCTAATCCTATAATCAGCTATTAATACATCCATAGAATCAATACAACAAAGAAGACTATTCAAGAAAAGCATGTGTCATACTTGAGGTTGTACAGTATATGGGTCTTAGCCCTCATACATGGCACCTCCTGGCCATGCCACATCATGGCTTCCTCCACAAGCCTTGCACACATGCATCTGCTGCCAGTGGACAAGTGGGCCAATCACCAAGTCAAGCTCCTCGACCATGCTTGGCCTTGTGTCACGGGCCGACTCTTTTAGAGGCGCAGCGGATCAATTTTTGCCCGTGTGGCGCTCAAACTCCACCAAGTTTAAGCCCGCCATAGCTCGTTGACAAATCAAGTGTTGATGATCTCACCCGTTTGAACATTAGGTCCCAATGCTTTGTCAAGCAAAACAACTTCACAAGGAAGCTCCGTCTTCACCCGGATGCCACAAGTAGGCCTGATGCCTCAAGTGCACCAAGCACGGCATAAGTCGCTTCATAGCGCCAAGCTTACTTCAAGCAAGGTGCTCGCCCAACTTAGGTTTATGTCATCAAGGTGCCTAGCTACACAACAATGTGCTAGCAAAGGTCCTCAACTTAGCCGACAAGCCAACATTGCTTGTTGGGTCTTTAATAGCATCCCAAAGTGTCGTAGGGTCTAGCATGCCTCAATAGATGCATATTGGATGGTCGCTTGGTCATGCGAAGCCCACAAGCCACCGAGGGCCAATCTCGTGCCCACGGCGTAGTCCTCGTGCCCACACGTGTGCTAGATTCCGCCTAAGGCCATTGCGCACCTTAGCGTTGCACCAACGTGTAGCATGAGTAAGGCGACGTCTCAATCCGTAGCTTGCTCACAGCATAATGTAGTCCCTCAATGGACGTAGTCATTGCGTAGCTTGATGCCTTCGTTCGATAGCACACATATGCGGTGTCGCCTTCCAACCGCTTAGCTTAAGCCACGGGATCCCCTCGTGCAAGGTCGAACCCAAACCAAGCACTAGAGTTGGCACACGAGGCCTTTAGTGGTGCCTCGATAGCCCATTCGGTCCAAAACGAGTCCCAAAGATACCATATTGCGTGGCATAGTGGAAACAACGTAGTGAACCTCTCCCTCGGGAGAGACGCGCAGTGCCTACATCTTCGCACCGTCCACGGGGCTCCCAAACCCACATGGAGACTCTAGACACCCCTCTGGATGCCTACAGCCCGCCCTTGAGTTGCCCCAAGGTTGCTCACTTCAAGTCCAGTTTGGACGGGGAGGTTGGTAGGCAGCACACCATACCCATATATAGAAACACTCCCAACCAACGATTCTTGAAATATCCACGCTCCCGATCCCGCTTCGTGTAACTAAGAGTAGCCGCATTGAGCGAGTCAGATTCCCCCACACTTGCCACTAACTTGCTCTATCTCTATCACTTGGCTCATCAGTAAGCCCACCAAGTGAGATCTCCAATCTAAAAGAACAGATGCTCCAACCACGATTATTTGGGCTAGGAGTAGGGTCCAAGTACCGTGCTTGGGACCACTAGAGGACTTGTGGATTGAAAATTAGAGCCAAAGGTTTGTTCAGATGCTCGCCCAGTTCCCCTTAGGAGATGAGGCGAGTTCAAAGTAGTCTTAGAGAGAGGGGGGCTCTAACCAAGAACTGAGGTCTCAATGATTGTATCATACCAACCTCTAAACCGCTCTAGCATGCCCAGAAATAGATGTGTCATACCTACACTTCCTGTCCACATATGAGACACCCCTTGAGGCCAACAATAGAGGTTACAATGTTGGCCATGTTTTCCTCCATTTTTCCTAGCCAAGGGGATCACACCACATGTATTTAAGTTGCCTCCCCCTGGCTCACCACCCTATGGGGACCTCCATGTAGGCTATGGCACAACGATCTTGCTCTCTGAACCACCAGCTCTCCAGTACCATCCTCTCCCTCCACTAAGGTTGTCCTTGGCTCTCTTCTCTCCCTCTTCTGTTGGTCTGCCGCTTTCACAAAGTCTCAACCAGCTCATTCCTCACTTCCCACAGAGTTATGTACTAAGAGATGTAGAACTGAAGGAGAGAGTTGTTGCCCATTAAGTAGACGGCGAAACTTGAAGTGACATGATATCAACTTAACAAGTGTTTTAAAAAAATAAAAAATAAAAAATAAAAAATAAAAAAAGAAAAAGAAAAAAGAGAGATTATGTCACAATCCTATCCCACCCACACTAAGATAAAGTCGTGACCGGCTAGCAGTCATGGACTACCAAAGGCGTTACTAAATAAATATGAAGTACTCCTGTAAGTTTTTAGGATATAATCTGTTTTTATAACAGAAGCACACAATTCTTGAATCTGTTTATCCCACCATCATCCATTCAGAGTAAGTGCGTAATTTAATGAAATAAAACAAAAATATTTCTTATTACAAAGCCAACCTAGGTTCTTTTTACATTAGTGCAATCTTAAATGAAAAGGAAATACAACACAAACTTCACAATGCTAAGGCTAGAGCACACAAGTCTTTACATCATATTCACATATTCACAAAGCTTGAATCTTAAAGCCTTGAAGCAACCATCATCACCTATATATATAGGGAAGAGTGGTGAGCCAAAGCCCAATAAATATTGATATATCAAAGTTATTTTAAGACAAGGATATCTCCATAATAATTATAAGTAAACTAAAAGCTTCGAAGCTTAACTTGCATTTGAAGCATAACATATCTTATGCATTCCCATTTACAAACACGGTGATAATGTCCATGACAAAGACAAAAAAGGCACTGCTTGAGGAAGATTTGAAAACTTTTTGAAAATTTAGAATTTTAGGAATTATTACAATTGAAAGGGCTCAAGCCGAACAGGGCTGAATGCTTATGGGTCCTAGATGATAGGGCCAACACCAAACGACCAAATTGGGCCAAGCAGCCCAAGTATGACTGAGCATGTACATTGTTCCCAACTATGCAAGGTTTGGTCGGCTTGATGAGAGCCCGACTGAGCAGCCCCTGGCCAACGTTGGCCATCCCGAGCTAGATGAGGCTGCGCGACGCTCTACACTGGTTCTAATGTGGACTAGAAGTGACCAGGTCATGCCAGGGGTCATTAGAGAAAAGTCAAAGGAGCTGGGAATTGGGTTTATCGCGCATCATCCTCACCATGATCAAAGTAGAAGAGCCAGTCTCTCAATGGGAGGCGCACATGGCAGATACTCAGGCGGACATCATGGAGAGAGAGAGAGAGAGAGAGAGAGAGAGAGAGAGACAAGCCTATAAAGCAGAGACCTTAGACCAGCTACAAGGTATTGAACAAACCCCAGCTCTTGCTTCCATACTTCCTCTCTACCAATTTCCCAACTTGAGCATCGGAGGGGCTTTTTTAGCCAGATGCCCGGCCAGGTACTTTGCTTGGTTCCATTTTTCCAAAAACACTTTTCAAAAAATTTTACTTTATTGTTTTCCGTATTTTTTTGTTTTTACTGAATTTTTTTAATATTTTAAACAGTTTTTTTTTTTACTTTTTAGACAAACCTAACATAAATATACCTAAAAAGTAAAAAAATTGTGAAAAAAACCTTTTAAAAATTCACTAAATACCAAAAATACAAAAAAAAAAAAAGAATTCAGTACATTTTTTGTATTTTTATGTATTTATTATTTTTTTAAAATATTTTTTCACAAATTTTTTACTTTTTAGATACATCTAAGTAAGGTGCATCTAAAAAAGTAAAAAAAAAATGTTTAAAATTTTAAAAACATTCACTAAAAACAAAAAAACACGAAAACCCAAAAACTCAGTTTTCAAATAACTTAATCCAAAACACTCAAACCAAACACACTAATTGGTGTTCCTTTTTGTAGGAAATTCTTGTCCGGACCACCTAGACCAGTTTCAGAGCTCCATCACACACCTTGCGGATTTCACCCCCGCACCACAATATTAGAATGTCGTTTAGATTTTAGTATAGAAATTAATTATTGTCTTGTTTTATTTTGGAAACTTTTAAATTAGGGTCTTCTTTAGTTGCCTATAAATAGGCCATTATGTACAAAATTATTTAGGTTTGATTATGAAATTGAGATATTGAGTATTGAAATTTAGGTTTATTTTTATTTTCTTTGGGTGTAGTTTTTCGTTTCTTTTGGGGGGGTTGAGATAAAGCTTTTTGGCTAAGATAGCCAAAAAGTCACAAAGAAAGCCAAAATGTCACATTTTTACACACTAATCAATCACTTTTTCACTTACAACCATCTATTCAACCAAAAAACTATCCCAAACACACTAACTTTTTATATCTCATAAAAAAGCCAAAAAGCCACTAAAAAGGCCAAGTTCCCAAATGAGCTCTTAGTTTTGTTCTCTTTTTCCAGCCATCCTACATCACTAAGAAGGTCGATGATGAGAAGCCCAAAGATCACAAAATTTGGAATGCAACAAAGAATGCCAAAGAAGGCATGGATCAAGGTTGTGAAGAAAGACATGAAAACCAATACTTAAACAAAACAAAAAAATATATATATATATTTGCATGTAGATAAAACTAAACGGTGACAAAGGACACTAGCTGCCAAAAGAGGCAGTTAAGTAGGATAATGTTTTCTTAATTTGAGCTCGATGAACCAAAAAATTATAAACATTATAATTTACTCAAATTACTAGTAATGGATGACAGAGATACTTTTATGTACACCTTGGCCATATGTGTATATATGTCTGTCAATTAAATTAAAAGGCAAATAAGTTGAAACAATATATTGATAATCCTAAGATTATCACTGAAAGATCGTTGTAAGCAATGGAAAATATATGACTGCTTAGCAGCATAGAACATTTCCTTGGCCTCAAAGGTAAAGCAATCCAAGATGATATCTAGGGTGGCAAAACTCAAAGTTATCGGGTAGTTGAAAAATTTGAAGGTGAGCGGTTTATTAAAATTCTGTGGGTAGTGACTGGTGACGTGGTCGGTTTTAGCCTTCGTGGAAGATGGTGGGCACTTCAATGGCCAAGGAGTCATTGGAGGAGAAAATCAAGGTGGCCTGAGAGAGAGAGAGAGAGAGAGAGAGAGAGAGAGAGAGAGAATGGCAATGCAGAGAGACCTATTGATGGAGTAAGGGGGCCAAAAAGATGAAGGTCGTGATCAATGTTGCATGGATGAACCCCTAATATAAGGTTATAAACCGTTGCCATCTCACTGGTACACGTGGCCAACTTCCTTTTTTCAACAAAATAGAGGTATCACGCCTACCTTTGGGTTCCAGCAATCACAAACGATGAATGCCTAGGCCTTGCTCCCAACCTAAGGTAACATGGTAATCGTTAGTGCGAATTCCAAACTAAAAGGATGTAGAAGGCATTAGGGAGTCATGACCCAACATGAGGGTCATGCTACCACCGAGTAAGCGTGACCGAGCAAAGGTATCCGAGCAACCATTCCAAATGGGAAAGAGGCATGGCAGGTCATGACTTGGAAGACTCATCTGGCCAAGACATGGGAGTACTGAGCCATGATGTTGTTGAGTGGGCTTAGTCGAGCAAGAGTACCTCAGCTTGGCCGAGTAGTGCTCTGGACCACAGCTAGGGGCTCCCTGTGCTTTGACTCATTGCCATGTAGCGAGAGTGATCCAAATACACACGATATCAATAACAAAGATGTTCCAAGGTAACATACGAGCTATTTGAAGTAACTAAGTGAGCCTATCAAAGCAATATAGCGATTAGGTGGTTTGGAATCGAAATGTGATCAGCCACAGATTTGTTGTGATGACCACAGATCCTGAGAAGTATCTACCTAGGGATTACTTTGTGTTTACAAGTGTGGAAATTCATGATACTCAATTACAAAGAAAAGAAATACATATGTTGTCACATGCAAACTATATTATTGGTAGAAGGGAAGATCATAGAAATTTAAAAACATCAGAAGAGTATGAAGCCACGGTTATTTGGAGGCAAATAGTATCTAAACATATACACAAATTTACTTTTCATAAAAACAGATAAAAGTGATGCATCTGAATCACCACTTCGAAACAGTTCACAAGAGGATTACATTATTTGTTTGTTGAATGGAAACAAACTCCAGAGGCAGATATAGACTAATTATAAATGTGTCATGCAGTCCAGACAAATCATGTGGTCAAATTAATAAAATATGAATTAATTATATAACATTACCAGGTGTTCCAACTCCTATGGTATCACCAAGGGAGATTTCAAAGCAGCCCATATCGTGAAGTTCTTTTGCCACGTGTGCCACTTTTGAAGGAGAAATAGCTCCTTCCACTGGGCACCCAACCACGCATGAGACATACCTATTTAAAATTTGAGACCAATTTTTTGTCTTAGTGACAGCTACAATTATTCAAAACATAGCTTTTCTTTTAGTGGAGTATTCAGATGTGAATACAACTAAAGAAAAAATGACTTAAATCTGTTTTCTGAAATTCAAAAACAGAATGGTAACTGGCATGAAAAATCTGACTTGATTCAACAAATGACTATCTATAGAGTTTATAACCTAATTTCCAACTCAGTTAGCAATGACAAAGAAGTTGTATCTTAACTTTGTTGGTAACTGAAGAAACATTTAATCATAAAATATAAACAAAAGTGTTGCCCCTGGAATCATTATCTCAGAAAATTGTTAATAAGCAAGTAAACCATTATCATCCAGTAGTTAAATCTGCTTAAGCACGTGGAATACAGAAATACGGTTACAGCCCTTAACAATAAAATTAAAATAAATAAATACAAAGAGTTCAGAAAATTGTACGAGATTGTAAAACTGATAAAAGACTTAACTAAAAATTCAGCAAAACGATCACGAAGAAGATAAAGACACTTGCAGGAACATATTACTTGTGACAGAACCAGTAAAAAACAATGCCCAAATAGAACACATTAATGTGTGTTTGTGATGATAGAATAGAACCATGCACAAGAGTACTGAAAGAAAAGGCTTGTACCAATGGTGAGTGTCAATTAAAGGCAAAACAAAACACTGACCATTTGACTGACATAGCTAAAACTTTAGAGTGCAGAACTGATGTAATTGAAAACCAAAGACCTAATGGAAAAAAAAAAGGGGTTATTAAGTTCCTTAACAATCAGTGAAATACAGATAATATGTCCAAGAAGACAATGTAAAATCCAAGCACTAGATAGCAGTCATGTAGCTTAGCTGACAGAAACTAGCAACTACAATTTTGCAATAAACCCATCCATTGCAAGACTGCAAATTTGTAAACTAGTATGATTCAAGTTATGTAGGTTTTTTTTATTGACGATGCTTTGCACACAACTCAAATAAGACTTAGCAGTGAAACATAAGAGAATATGACTTACTATTTGGTTTAAGAGTTTCAACAAAAAAGAAAACAAATACATACCCCCGAACAGGAATTGATAGCTTTTTAGCAGCCTGAGCAACTGCGCGATAACGAGCAAGACTCTCCTCAATGCTACAATTAATGTTCGACTTTGAAAACGATTCAGAAGCTGATGCAAAGATAGCTACTTCCTTTGCCCCAGCTGCAACAGCTGCTTCAAAACCCTGACAGTGATTTGCACAACAAATTAGAAAACTCCCTTCACATAATTATGACACTATTTGAACTCATGTTTTTCCCAAACAATGTCACCCACTTTTAAATTAGGTGTCAAAACAGGCAATCTTGCACCCTCCACATTTCTAACTGCTTCCATTACATCCTTCGCATCCGCAAGCTATTAAAACAAAAAAGAAAAAGAAGAAAAAAAACAAAGAGATAACAATTAAAAGCATGTTACTTTTCAGCTAAATGGGGAAAAAAAATGCAAGGTTCAATTTTAAAATCAAGGAAGACACACAAAATCAACCCCTTTACACTGCATACAAACATGCAACATCAAAGAAATGGGAAGACGGGATAAGGATGAAAGAGTGGCAAAACCTCTGGCCAGTCAATTGATATTCCACCTTACACAAAATACAGCAAATGAAATTATGAAGTCTATTACTAGGGGAAATGACTTTACCAAACATACCCCTTTTCTCACATTCTGTATATTCATCTCGAATCCAACACTTATGACCAGAAAAGGCACATGAAGTATGTTCTTCCTTACCTCCTCACTGGAAAGCATTGTCCATCAGAAGTTTACTCTTCCACCAGAGGGGAAGCAAAGATTTTAATTTGGGCCCCCCAGACCTGCCACTCATCTTTGATACACACAGCACAAGAAACAAAGAAAGTACTGTCCATCAGACCAGGTGTTAAAGTGACTTTAGTTTTCTAAGCCTTAACTTAATAGACTACTAATTGTCAACTGCTGGCCACCTCATTGCCACCAAATACGTTATTTCATTCTTAAGTATTTCACTCTCAATTAACCCCCTTAGGCTATGTTAGCATCCTACATCGGATGCAAACAGTATCCAAAATGGACTCATAAGATAGGGCAAAACACTTCTATCTTGGAGGGGTCATTTAGGCTTGGAGCCAAAGGGACAAATCTGTGAGGCCGGTTGTTGGACTGGGCCATAATGAAAAAATACTTCCAGGTCAAGGTTGGGCCGCACGTCTTACAAGGTATCAAAGCCAGGGTCATACCTACGTTGAGATGGGGATGTAGGCATTCACATTGGATGAGGATGATGTCCAAATGGCCTTATAAGACAGCATAAGACACTTCTATCTTGGAGGCGTGTTTTCGATTTGGAACCCAAGGGGACAAACCCATGATATCGGCTATTGGGTTAGGCATAGCAGACAATATTTCCAGCTGGGGGCTAGGCTATGCGTCTTACAAGCAAAACGTAAGGTTGTAAATGAATATGTGTTTATCTTTCTTAATTGGAATAACCAACACAAATCCTAGTAGTTTCTAGGTAAGAATCTTTGTTATCCTTCTTTCCTCTTTTCTTGACTTTCATAAATCTTCCCTAAAATCTATGGCCACCGCTTTCCTTAAGGCAACCTGTATTATCATTGGAGCCGAGCCAAGTTTGAGCCAGGCTTGCACTATATAGTAAGCGCATATATGTCATCCCAAACCCAGACCAACTCAACATTGGGCCTAACCTAGCCATCCCAAGATCAATCCTAAAAAAATTTTAAATCCCAAGCCCACCCACTTAACCCAATAGATATGGACTATTAATTTTTATTTTTATTTTGTCTTGAAGGGCTATTAAATTTTTTAGATATTTTTAATAATTATTTTAGTTTGGAACATTAACAAAATTCAATTGTAAAATAAATATGGCCTTTTAACAAACGGTTTAATTTAAGCCCTAAAAAGAAAAATATATATTTTTCTTATCATTTATTATTTTTTTAGTTTATTTTGTAACAAAATAATATAAAATTAATATTAATATTTTATAAATGGGATGGGCAGGGAGCTCCTAATCCTAAGCCAGACCAAAAATTAAATGGGCTACAAATCTCAACCCAACCCGGCCCTATGGGCTAAATATTTTTCCCAAGCCCTAGAAATATCGGGCTGGGTTGGGCAGGCCACATGACCACCTTGCATCAACTTCAAGCAAAAGTTACCACATATGTGGTACTACCTTCACAATCCAACATCTGCATTTGAGATCCAAAAATTAATAGACAATTATTCTGAAAGATAGCTATACAATTCTTTCCCTTAAGATACTTTCATTGGAAGCATGGCTTATGGGATAGCTTTTGTATTGATCTTATCTGTTTGAAGTAAAGTCGCAGACATAAAAGATAATTAATTTTTAATTTTGACTATACAAGAGTTAAGTTTTCAGTTCCGATCTTTCTTCAACTGCACGAGTAACCCAGAAGAATACAAGCTAGGAAAGTATTCCACTACGGGAAACCACATTTTTTCCCCCTCAAAATAAGTTACATTAAATGATTAGGGAGTGAAGTCAAAAATATTAAGGCCCTAAAATTTATTTCTTCCTGAATATTCCAAGAGCATCTTTTATTGTGTCATAAATTGCAGAAACCCTAGTTGGGTGTTGATTGCATAAACCTGCTGAAAGAAACTCGCTGCTGATATAATTTATACCTTGAAAATGTTTTTTGAGATCTCAATTGCATGCTGTCTGATGTTAGCTTGGCGCTTCACACAAATTTCTAATCACAACTGTTTCTCGTGATAGTCAATTGGAAGTCACCTCACTCCCTCTTGCCTAAAACCTTGAGCGGCACAAGACATTCTCTTCTTAGAAACAACTAAAGCTAAGGGTTTGAGTGTAAAATGGAAACAAAATTTCAGTGATAGAACTCAATTAGATACCTCAAAATTGAAATAAGAGTTGCTAGTCAATTTCACTGCAAGCATACCCAAAAAAGATTTAAAAAAAAAAAATTAAAAAAAGGAATAGAACTAGTAGCCCAGCTCTTTTTCCTTTACTAAGCAGAACAACAATCTTAATTAAGAAAACGGTAAGAAGAACTAAATTAACTCAATTGGACTGGTGCGCAAACAAATCCAAGTTTTTACCTTGTCACAAGAAACAAAGATAGAAGAAACTGATTAGTGCCACAGTTTTGTTTCAGTTGTCTCATCATCCATATGCGGAATTTGTTTTTATAATCTAAATCAAGTTGAAGATATAGAAATGCCATTGTTTAATCATTTAGCTAGTAAACACCAACTAAATTTATCATTTGAGTACAAAGATGTATATGTAAAAGCTTCCCAACCACATCAAATCTATGGTTCACCCACATAGTAAGTATGGCATGAAGTCAGGGGACAAAAAATGAAAGCAGTGCATTTTCAAGGGGAAAAAAAACATTATCAAACTTACTTGAGGTACCCATTTTGGCGAGACAAAACTTGTGGCCTCAACAACTGACAATCCAGAAGAAACTAGCCTACGTATCAGTTCTACCTTCACAGACGTAGGTACAACATTCTTCTCATTTTGTAACCCATCCCTTGGACCAACTTCGACTATCTTCACATACTTTGGTATACCTTTAAAAAATTGCTGAATCCAAATTTCAATTGAAAGGTTAGAGCAAGCAATCCCAATATCAAAGAAAGGACAATCAATAATAAAAAATTTGAAGCCAACAAATTGTAGAACACCAAAGACAATTTTAGTAATGGATATATTGCACTAGATAACTTGTTGATCAGCATTTTGCACGATGAAAGGGCACGTTGAGTTGTGCCCTACTGGCATCACCCCAACACTTCCATAGGGAAGGTTGGGAGTTCAAGCCCAGTATGGGCATGGTTGTTTGGAAGGGGTGGGGAATTAAGGATGGTTGGGACATTTTGCAGATGAAAAAAAAAAATGACACATCAAAAAGCGTAATAATGTGATTAACAAGTTGAAACCAACTTAGTTTGAAGGAATAGATCAAACAAGAAGTTTCATTTCTTTGAGATATACCTTGTTTGTTATGTCCCTCATGCCATTGTCACTGCAGTAGGAGCTATACGGATGGTCAGGAAAATACCGTGAATCACACAGAGTTCCATACACCACATGATTCCTGCCTAGGCTTGAAGTCCTTCGATTGGATATGTCACAACTCTTTCGTCTTCTCCATGCGAATGATTCTCTTGCATACTCTTCAAAGTCTTCACTGCATTTGAACAAGCGTGCATTTGAGTGTATTTCACAAAATTGTAACATGATGGATGAAATATGTTTACACGCTATGCTCATTTGATAATGATTAATAGTGTATTGACGATGTAAGTGGTTTACCTGATGATAATAATCATTTTAATTATAAATAAATAAAAGAGAGAGAGAGAGACAGAAATCTAGGATCTTCCACATTTAACCTTTTACATGTTGCAGTGCTGTTTGTTTGACTAGACAAGAGTAAATATAAATAAATGAATAAAAATAATGACAATGAAAATAAGAAAAAATAAAAACCAATTTCCCTAGTCACTTTTTCAATTTTTGTTTGCACAGCAGTACTGAAAGCACTCTAAGGAAACTGGAGAATAACAACTGTAGTAATAAACAATCAACAGTGCTGCTCCATTTTCATGGATGATAAAGTGAACTTTTGACCATACCTTTCAAGGGTTCCCTAACACAAGTATAATTTACTAAGCAATTGAGGAAGCAACTGCTGAACTGAATGTAAGAAATTATGAAAAATATTTGCAGGGGATCATGCTTATCTTTGTTAATCAAATCAGTGTTAACAAAAGCAAAAGAAAGACACTGATAAAAGGTACAGATATTAAAAATCCACTTAAGGCACAAGTTTCCTTCTGATATAACACTTTCATATTCGCAATGCAGAATGTACAAGGTTAAATGTATAGTAGAGGCAAGCAATAGGAGTACTCTTAATGAAATACACATTAATGCATTGGAATGACAAACAGAGTTCAACCAAGAAATTCCACCCATGTAAAAAAGTGATGGGCAAGTTATGTTTCTACCTTAACTTGCTAAAATTGCATGGGAAAGGCCCAAAATTGTGACCTCACATTATGATTGTTCTTCAGTGAAACAGTCTATTCTTAAAAAAATAGAGGAAAAGAAAATGAAAAAACAGCAAAATTGAGAGAACCTGCAACAATTCTGAGAGAGAGAGAGACTAAACAAAAGGAAAATTTAGGAATTTTTAAAGAACAAGAAAAAAAGAAATTTTATGACAACACGTAAGGGAAAAGGCTATCCTAAAAACTAAAAAGTTCAGCTTTATGAAGACACTTACTCACAGCTGTTGGATGAGCTGCAGTTTCTCCCTTCAATCCAGCAATTTCCCATTCCCATGTCATCTCCTCTGGACCTGCAAGCACTAGATGAAAACCTACTAAACTGATCAATGGTGCTCAGGCTTGGCAATTTGTCCAGACCTAGTGGCTCTTCCAAGCTCGACATTGTGGAAGTGGATGCAGTGAGAGAAACTGAAAAATATGCACAATAGAAGTGAGTGCACCACCACAAACACTTGCATAAGGCCTTTGTTGCTAGCATTAGGTCAACAGCAGAGCATGAAGAATTTATTCATCTCAAAGACTATTCAAATTAGTTTTGATTATTCAAACATCTGATCCAAGTACGAGAAAAAATGTTTTCAGAGGTTAAAATATTGATCTCAACATGTACTCTAAAACTTAAACATTTCCTATAGGCTTACAAGGAACTCATTCCAATTGAAACACTTAAGAAAACAAAATAAAATATCTATTGAAACATGGTTCTAGTCAAAAGAAGAAACACCCTGAAACTTTTTAGCAGCTTTTGAGGAATTTTACAAACAGAGATATCAAAAGCAGGAACTGCTAAATCTGGCTGTGAACTATCTTCAGGTTGATAGTTACTGATATATTCCAAATTCTATGTACCAGAAGTAAGAATGCACAAACAGGATTTCTGTAACTAAATTCACTACTCACAGAAAAAAATTCAGGAACACAGAATGCATTTTATTGCATGGGTGGGCACTATATCTGAAATATAATAATTAAATTTAAATGTCCATGCTTTTTTGTGAAACCACTTGTTTTTTATGATAAAAAAGCAAAGAGGCTTAGAACAAACGTGTTTAATTTAATACCTAAAAAAAAAAAAGAGAGAGAGAGAGAGAATAAACAAGGGAACAAAAATAATGAACAAACTTTGAATGAGATGGTCTGCCAAGAAGATGTATCTGCAGGTCAGTCCAACAGCTACACTATGGGGTAAAGGCTTATTCATGCATGGTTAACCAAACCGTGCATGATTTTAGATATTCGACAAAATTAAAAGAATAAAGGTGTCTCACAAATTAATCATCATTAGAAAAACCATGGTGCCTACAGTTAGTTATTCAATAAAATTAGTTTGCAAAATTTTGGTCCAGTTGACCATGCTCAAGCTTAAATCAACTCAAGAAAGTTTAATATTTTTTGGGGTCTCAATGATAAACATTCTTCCAATAAAACAGGGAAGTTTCTTATCTTTGTTAAATCATAGGCTACTACTGAAAATGTCCTCAAGGGGGAGGGTGAATAAGAGTATAGAACAATTTTAAATTTTTTTTTTTTTTTTTTTAATTTTCTTAGTCTTCAGAGTCCTAGTTCCGCAACTCATAGCTTTTGGTTAAATTGTTCAAGTATTTGATTTTCCTTGTATATAGGAGACCAAAGTGTAGGTGTATGTAATGAAAATAGTGTATACAACAATGTAGTATAACACTAAGATGAGAGATAATACCTTCCACAAGAAACAAGTTTCGAGAGTCCCTCGGAACGAGCTCTTAAACAACTTCAGTTGAAGGCCTCGCAAGCACACACTCACACACACAATGTGGGAAATCTCTATGAGATATGATCTGAAGTGTATAGCGAAGCTAAAATTTTCAAGTGGCTGGTTTCTCATCAAGAATACCAAAAGGGGGCAATTTGGTATTTAATTTATAACCATCTTGCCCAATGGATAGTTTCCAAAACTATCATAGTTTGGCCAAGCCAACTTCAAATGTTGCTCGGCCCAGCTAGTTGGGCAAAAACAGAGATCTAGTTGGTCGGCCCAACCTGTTTCTACAAAGATTACTTTCTCAGGATCTCACTTTGATCGGCCAAACTCAATTGTTTGGCAGACCCAAATTGTGAGTATGACAAACCTAATTGCACCTGCTCCAGTCAACCAGTCATGCTTTTAGTCGCCAGTTTGACCATAAGTGCCTCAAACTGCCTTGGTCAACAAACCTCCAATGTTGATCTGGTTAACCAAGCTGACCAAATGGACTGTAGAGTGGATAGAGCCCATTATTCATGGTATTCTTGGTCCAATACTTGTCCAAAATTTTTTCCTTCCGATGAATATCTTCCATGGTCCTTATTCCATGCCGATGAAGTTCTTCCATAACACTTCAAGTTTCCAAGGTGATTCAGCTTGCCCATGTCCTTCCAACAATAGTGGTTAGGGTTCCTACCTCAAGTTACACATACAAGTAATGAAATTGCCAACATACGCTAGTCCTAATACTAACAACTACATCTTTTCTCAAAGATTCAACCAACATTGAGAAGCTAAACCAAATCACTACCAGGTAGTAAATAAATTTCATTACAATTGGCAAATAACCAACTCTACCTTTCACAGATTGTCTGTCATCTTGTTCACCTTCAAATTATAGGATCGGTATTCAGTTCTAATTTTATCATTTCTTGTCATGGCACTCATTCACCTAACATTCTCATTTCATTGGCACTGATTTCTCAAGTAACTCACAGTTAATATAATAAACCGTGACTCACCTAACATTCTCATTTCATTGGCACTGATTTCTCAAGTAACTCACAGTTAATATAATAAACCGTGACAGCCAGAGGGCCATAGAAATACTAGTCTTGATTTGAATACAAACAACCTGCCTTCAGACAATCAAGAAGGAAATGTACACCAAATATTGCAAATTCATAATTATCGGGCTTTTTTTTTTTCTTTTTTTTTTTTTTTGGGTAAGTAACATGCTTTTGTTACTAACTCCCAAAAGGCCCACCTTAATGATGGTCCTCCATTATCCAAAAAAAATCTTGGTCCTCCATTAAAAGAATTACAAGTGTACCCATCTCTCAAATTTATTAATTCCTTCACCCATCCTCACCCTTCACAGCATCTAAATTAGTGCAGATGACCGAATATAATTTGTTACAAAATATACCATATTCCAATGAAGTACCCATTTGAACTCTTCTGTGAGGCCAACAGAAAGGATAGACAGAATCATGATTGATAATGACAAACCAAATTGTACAACACATGTTGCTACAAACAAACCCATAATGTACCATTTCAAATTATGTGCCAGTGCAAGTCTGCAGCACTCTATCACATTTTCTAGACACAGAGCACCTTCCCCTTTTCTCAGCGAGTATGTTCAACTCAAGCTTTCATCATAACATAAATGCTCAAGTCTAATGCAGCAAATATGGAAATTTTAGAAGAGTACCAGATTTGTTCAAAATATAAGCATTAATTCATTATCACCAATGAACTAACTAAAGGCCATAGTTAGAAATAAATGGGACAGGAATTCAATAAAAATACAGAAATAATCAATAACTAGCAAATGCAAAGAAGGTGTTAAATTCCCAAAGAGATAACCATAACAACCAGTTTAGTTGCAAAGAAGTCAAACAAAAACAAACCCAATTATCACAATAGCATTTACCAAACCCAGAATTTTTTACCACTTGGTTCGCGCCCAAAAACAAAGAACCCCAACTTGACTCAGACAAATGAAATAAAGAACCAAACTTTCTCCCAATTAACTTCTCATCAGAACAATCAAAAACAAAACATTGAACTACCCACTTAGTTCCTGAAAAAATTAAGACAATTGAAGTCCAAAATTCTCAAAATTTCCTCGAAATTGTCGGCAACCAAACAGAAAACAAACAAATTGAAAGAGAGAGACAGGAAGAAATACCAAAGAAAGAAAAGAAAACAAACCTGAATTCCTGGAGAGGAATAGGGTTTCGGAGAAGGGAAAGCAGAAACCCTAGAATTTTTTATTTTTTTTGAAATTTTTGCGTGGCTTCCAAAATATGGAGGGGTGTTTGGGTGGTGGGTAAGAGTAGGAAGAGAAGGTAACAAAACGTGGCGGAGAGCCCTTCACAAGCCTTGTTTGGTAGAGTCAGCTATACGTATTTGTCTATGTATACGTTTATATGTAGGTATTATTATTATTATTATGTGTGTGTGATGTGTGACATTGACAGATTCAATAACTTGTGTTGTGTTATATGCCCTAACTCGAATTGAATACAGAGGAAAAGGGTGGTAGGTGGTTATCAGTTGGGAGGTTGGTCATTTTCTTTATGCATGTGGAAGGAACAGAGTGAAGCCGTGCGATTCACGGATCAAATGGTTGGTTGGTTGTTGTCTTCCACCGAGGATTTTAGAGTATTTTTTTCCTAAAGTTTTTTAAAGTGGTGTATTGTATGGTTGAGATTTAATACTGAAAAATTGATGTGACTTATCATTAAATCTCAACCACACAATACGTCACTCTATGAAACTTTAGAAAAAAAAAACTCTAGAGGATCCTTACTCGTTGTCTTCTCCACTGATTATTAGATTCGGAAAAGTAACCACGGCGGGGACAAAAAATAAAAAATTATAAAAATATGTTTAATAGAAAAATGGGTGAATCACCAATAAGTCTCAAAATAGGATCTTACCAACTGTTTAGTTCTTTCTTTTTTTCTTATGAATTTAAAAGTTTTATTAAAGTGAAAATTACATAAAAGTGTAGTCACTGACATATTTGGATTTAATTTTTTAAGGATAAAGTTGGGTTTTTTCAAAATGTAAAATTACACATTTAGGCAATTTGCATTATAGAAATTTTGGATTTTTCCTTATTCTATAACAAATCCCACATTACGACACTCTAATGTAACACTTTAATAACGTAATACTTCAATGTAACACATTAAAAAACTCATTGGTGTACTTTTCCCAAATATAACAACGTAACACTCAAAAAAAATATATATATATTCTTTGGTGTACTTTTCTCAAACGTAACACTCTAATGTAACTAAAAAAAAAATCCTTAGTGTACTTTTTCCAAACGTAACACTCCGATCAGTGTAATTCCAAACGTAACACTTCAATGTAACATACTCCAATATAATTTACAAAAATACTAAAAAAACTTCTTAGTGTACTTTTTTCAAACGTAACACTCACAGTTTGAAATTATACGTTTGCCTAAAACTTACTAAGGAATATTTATACTAATTTTTGAATGATTTGAAAAATCTCACATCCTTTCTTTTTTAATTCTACATTGGAGTCTTACGTTTAGGAAAATTACACTAAGAATTTTAATTTTTTTTTTGTATGTGTTACATTGGAGTGTTACGTTTGGAAAAAGTATACCAATTAGTTTTTTTTTTTTTTTTTGCATTAAAGTGTTACACTAAGAAAAAAAAATTGAGTGTTATATTGAATAGGGGTGTGCGCGGTACGAGTCGGTGCGGTTTGAGAGAAAAATAAAAACCGTATGGCGGGTAGCGGATTGATAAAAGTGTCATTAGAATTTGCTATTTTCCTTATCAAAAATCAGCGGTTCGGTTGGCAAATAATGGCGGATTTACCTAGGCGGTTCGGGCAAATTGGCAGTTTATAAAAAATATAATTCAAATTACAAAACTTAGAGTAAAAAAAAGACGAGAGATACCGTGATATTAAGCATCTTGCGAAGCTTTCTTTTGATGCAGCAAGTGTACCAACAACATGATAATATCAACGACTATGTCATCAGTTCATTACAAGCATCTGTATAAGCTACAATGATCAAATATAATACATAAAATTAATATTATTCAGGGTTTACAATATATTGAAAATGTTTACTGTTGAAAAGTATTTAGATTGAAAAGTGAGCTGATGCAAGTTTGCCACATGGCCAGAAAAAAAAAAAATATTGAAAAGTGAATTGGAATCCAACTTTATTTTGGATTACTGACATCTTGAATTCCCCTCGAGCAGTAATGTAATACTATATTCTAAGGTATAGAACAACAAGCAAACTTAAGTAAAAAAGAATTTTTAGAATCTTATAAAACATGATTTAATAGCAGTGCGGGTCGGTGCGGTTTGGAAGAAAAATAGAAACCGACGGATTGATAAAAGTGTCACTAGAATTTGCCATGTTTCTTACAAAAAACCGGTGGTTCGATTGGCAAATAATAACGAATTTGCCTTGGCGGTGCGGTTCGGTGCAGCTTTGACGATTTCGGCGATATTATGCACACCCCTAATATTGAAGTGTACTTTGGTCTACTTTTCCCAAACGTAACGCTCTAATGTAACAAAAAAAAAATCTTTGTATTTTTTCCAAACGTAGCACTTCAATGTAACATACTCTAATATAACACACAAAAACACTAAAAAAAAATTTCTTAGTGTATTTTTTCTAAACGTAACACTCACAGTTTGAAATTATACATTTGCCTCAAATTTATTAAGGAATATTTGTACTCATTTTGGAATGGTTTAAAAAATCTCACATCTTTTTTTTTTTAATATTACATTAGAGTGTTACATTTAAAAAAAATATACTAAAAATTTAATGTAAACACCCACTCACCTCCAAACACACCTGTTACACTCCGGCTGCACCTCACACCAAATGCAAACCCAACACTAATCGGCAAGCATACCACGCCTACAAAAAAGGTAACAGAACACAATTAACAACACAACACTCACAAATGTTGCAGACGTTAGCCCCCACCATTCAATGTTAAACAATCAAAATTCTTACAAACATTAACATTTCCGTTAGCCCCCACCATTCAATGTTAAACAATCAAAATTCTTACAAACATTAACATTTCCATTCCCAAACAAACACGAATCACCCCTAATAGAAAAATGAATCACTTCAAGGGTATTAATGTAAATTGAAAAATAACCAAAAAATAATAAATGACACTTACCAAAAACATAGGACTAATTGGTCCAAAAGAAAACTCTTAAGACTAAATGGTTCAACTTTCTCTCACATAGGATTTACTAGTAAATTTTCCTAGAAAAATAACTGTAATCAATGTATTTGGTTTCAATTTTTTGAATTCAGTTTTTTGAAAACGAGTTTTTTATTTTTCATATTTTTATTTTTAGTGAATATTTTTAAAATTTGAAGTTTTTTTTTTTATTTTTTAGATGTACTTTACTTAAATGTATCTAAATAGTAAAATATTTTAAAAAATTAATAAATATACAAAAATACAAAAATGTACTAAATTTTCAATTTTTTTTGGTATTTAGTGTATTTTTTAAAGATTTTTTTCACAAATATTATACTTTTTAAGTATATTTATATTAGGTGTGTTCAAAAATTAAAAAAAAAATTGTATAAAATATTAGAAAAATTCATTAAAAACATTAAAATATGAAAATAAAAAATAAAACATTTTAAAATTTATTTTTCTAAAAATTGAAACCAAACAAACTGAATAATTTTTTTTGGGGGCCACACAAACTATTCAGTTATTTTTCTATTTAGATTGGGCCGGCTTCTCGACTTGTTGGTTGGTTTGGTTAATTTAAATAATTTATTTTATATAATTTTTTATAAGATTTTTTTTTAAAGTATTTGTATTTTAATTAATCTATAAGATATTATTATATTTTAATAAGTCATATTATTTTGGACATTTGATTAATTAAATTTTAATTTTTATATTTAAGTTATTTTATAAATAATTTTAATCTTACAAATATTTTTTGAATTCCTAACAACTTAGTGATGTGAATATTCACATTAAATAAATTTGATACTAGTATAAATGTTCATATCAGAAAACATTCACACTGTCAAAAAAATTTCATATCAAATAAATTTCACATTAAATAAATTTCATATCAAATATTTTTTGGTTCCAAGTCCTTCCAAACTGTCTTTGGTGGAGGTATGCCATCAATGCCTGAAAGTTGTGTTCCACATAGCGTGAGCTAAAACCCAATAAAGATACTTTAACACAAGCTATGAATCTTAACAAAATTATAACGTGAATGCATATGCATGTCATTTGTCAAATGTTTACATTTTCATCTCAGAACAATGCAATGTCAGATTATATATATGTATATATATATATCAATTCATGAAAATAACATTTTATATCATAAAACAGGACAATGGATACAAAACATTGGAAATCTCTAGATACGTGTCTGCCAGTAGGCTGTACAAGTACTTCCAAAGCCATTTTATCGGTATCAACTGGAAGGATCGGCACTTAACCGAACAGGTTTTTGGATTTTCACCAAGGACACACAAGTCAACATAATGACCACAACCACACCCCCTAACTAGATTCACCAAGGTATTCCCCCAATTTTCTCAAAACAATACATTTTCAATGTTTAAGTATGAAACAATGCTCAATGAAAAATGTATGCGTAATTAGTTTCAATGCACCTAATTCTCATGCAATTCCTACAATAATCAAAGTTATCCTCCACCGATAGCCCAAAACAGATATTTCTATTCAACAAATAATTCCCAACAAAAGATATAATCTCATCATTTTCAAAATGGGAGTGATATTACATATCCAACCCCACCATCATCATCAGCATACATATTCGTTCCATTCTTACAAAATCCAACATCTTTTCCCTTTTCTTCCACAAACCAAATATTCATGATTTTAAAACAAATACCCCTTTATTTTCAATAATCAAATTTAAGTAAAGAAATCTACTATTTTAACATATCTCAACCATAAACATATCCTCGCAACCTTTCTCAAGAATCCATTTAAAAACCCCTCTTTTACATTTCAAAATCAAACGCTAGGTTTAACCAAAATCCCTAAATTACTAGATTCTTTCAATGGACAAATAACTAAGGTAAAAATCATACCAAAGGTTGAAGAAATCTCTGCCTCAAGATTAGAAGACAAGAGAGTGTAAGGGTTGAAGTTTGGTGAAGCTGAAAACGAGATTCTCTCCGATTAGAACAAAACTTTAGACGAGCTCTACCTTTTTCTCCAAAAAACTATGGTGGAGAAATAAATGGATAAGGGCATATTTGAGATTTTTAGTAAGAACTATAGAGAGATAGTGAATAAATTAGGGTTTTGAAATGTTTAGAGAGAGAGAGAAGGGAATGAAAAAGTGATTCAATTTTTCTTTTTTCTGAACTGATATAGGCGCAGA